GCTGACTTCCATTTCTTTCCTACTCTCGAGTCTCAGCAGGAAGGACAACAATCGGTGGCCTGGGAAATATAAACCCCAAAGCCACTGAGTTGTGTTTGCACATCTGGAACTGGAGGTTGATTCTGCACCACTGGGCTGGCTGGGACTGACAGGACAGCAAACATTTGTCCTTTTGTAGTGACTGACCAAGGAGGAGTTAAAATCTCCTGGAAATCTGGAAAGAGCTACAGACAGACCTTAGATCAGATTTTAGACTCAGATTTGATGTTGTGAGCAAGATCTGGCCAGCTCAAGGGCTTCAAAGGATGCTGTTAGAACATGGAAGCAACTAAGCCTAGGGAAATCCTTTTCCATGTCATGGCTCATCTTGACCTTGAACAGATACCAGTATAATCCTTGGGATCTGATATTTAATAAGTCTTTTGAAGCCTTGTTGCCATCACCTACAGCAGCTTTGGAAAGCCTTGGTGTATAATGTCACAGAAATATCAGAAACCTCTTCTAAAATAACTTGCCTAGGGCCAGTAGGGGTTGGATGCTTCAATACAGAAGCTTCCTGGTTATAAACTGTGTATCTGTAAAAGACTTTTAATAAGTTTTTTTGCCTGGCAGTTGCATTTACTATGCATTGGCTGGTACGTTAGGAAACTTCTAGTCTGCACATGAAAACCCTTTGAAAATCATTGCTCCCTCACAGTGTGGTAATAAGCAAGAGAGTGGACACTCTGTGAAGGTCTATATGTATAATTTTTCTTCAGTTTTGATTAGTTTGCAGAGGCAAACAAGGTTTCTGGTTCTGAGATTACAGAGTCATCTTGAATTTGCTCCCTGGAATTTTTGGCTAGGTGTGAATTTGTGGCATAGGTGATCTCATGGAGCTCTGTCGTGGCGAGGGAATCGTTTGACCAGGGGAAGGGGAAGAATGCCACGTGAGAAAACGAGAGTGAGCCTCCTAATTCCACCTGGCAGAGGTCTGATTTGGATGGAAGTGCTTGGGAAATGCAGGAGGGGTTCACTAGTGAGGCCCAACCTGTAGGGTCGGGGTTGGATGATGAGCTTTAGGTGGAATTCATGTGCTATTAGGAAAGTTATGCAGAGCTGGTGTCCAATCCTGTGGGTCTGGGAAACCTTTGGCCGGGTGGGAGTTAAGAACCGAGCCCAGACCTCAGGACTGAGTGCCTTCACTATGGTCTTGGACCTCATCCTTGATTTCTTTTCCCTAAGTTTAACAAAAATTGAAGTAATATTCTCTCCTGGTGGCCTCTCACCTGGGAACTTGGTGATGCAGAGACTCTTGTGTGGCTCCCCCTTCCTCCCTGTCCCCTCTGCTATTGTAATACCAACTACAGTAACTAAATATTCTTAATTAGCTCCAACAGGCTTTAAATAGACCAGGGACAGCTTCCTTCCTTGTCAACTTTTTTTTCCAACCAAGTTTCTTTTTCGTCCTTCTAATTTTTGCACAAATTTAATGCAAAAAAAAATGCAGCCTATTAACACCCCCCTGTAAAATTAACTCACATTCTGGTGCAGGAGCAGCAGCCTCTTCCTTGCTGTGTAGATAATTTTCTATATTGCCTATATTTTCCCTTCCTACATTGCTACAATTTTTTTTTGGACAGCAAAATTTCTGGGCAAAACAGTTGTTTCGTGCCAGCAACGAACAAAACCTTTCATTCCATTAAACTGTAGCCCAGGATTACAACCACCTATTTCAGGAATAACGATTTTTAGGGGAAAAAAAAAAAAGATTCTGATCCATTTTATTTTGTCCTTCGGTGTTTAAAAGTGGTAAGTGTGTACACTGCGTGTCGAGTGGGCTCAGGAAACAGCATAAATGTTTTGAGATGACTGTTGCTTTACCAGGTACCAAAGATACCTCTTTATTAGAGCTCAGTTGTTATAAGGAACAATATGTAGAAATACAGAGATAACTGCCCTTGTGGGTAGAAAAAAGGGCAAAGTGGAGGAAAGACTATTTTAGCTATTCAGTTAGAAAATACTTTCCTTCGTTTCCCTCCTCAAATAGTTGATTTTTTGGCAGAAATAGCACCCAGCATGTTTTGACTGAAAGGGAAATATTTCAGTCTGGAGGGAAGTTATTGCGATACCTCCTGGGAACTGCTGTTTGGAAACGTGGTGTCTCCGACCTGTTGCCTCTCCAGAGTGACTCCCAGCTCCTGCCATGTCCCACAGAACACCACTGATGGCCATGGAGGCTGTTGTGTTCCCTGGAAAAGGAATGAAAGGAATTTGGTTCCCAGTGCACGAGGAGAGAGTGGGATCCTGACTCCACCTGTGCTCCGGCACCTGGGATAAAGATATCCCTCTTCCAGGCAGCTTTTTTTATGGAAAGGAAGCAGTTGGGGTTCAGCTTGGGCATGAGGAAGAATTTCTTCACTGAAAGGGTGGTCAGGCATTGGAAGGGGCTGGAAGTGGTGGAGTCTCCATCCCTGGAGGTGTTTAAGGAATGACTGGATGTGGCATCAGTGTTCTGGGCTGGTTGACAAGGTGGGGATGGCTCACAGGTTGGACTTGATGATCTTGAAGGTCTCTTCTGACCTCAGTGATTCTGTGCAAATATATTTTCATCAAGGAAGAAGCAGTTGGGTTGTTATTTTTTCTCCCCTCTCAGCTCTCCGTTGAAAAAGTGTTGATTTAGGTGAGAAGCAGCTGGGATGGGGACGGTTTCCTTCTGTTTGTGTGGGGCTTTGCACAGTGAGGGGCTGATGCTGATGGGGTCCCTCTGAGCTGCTGTGAGAATTTATGGTTTACCATGCAGATCTAATGCCATGTGGCAAAGAGACATCCAATTCTTCCCCCCATTTAGCAGGGAGAGACTGTGAAAGCAGTCATCTCTACATCCTCCAGAAAACCCACAGAGAACTTGATGTGGCATCATGCCATGGCATGTCCTTTCTTGTCCTCCACTGTGGCCCACAGATGCCTCACTGGGCAAAGAAAAGGGGGCTCTGTCATTTCTTTGAGAATGGGATGTTGGAGTGTTGGAGCTGAGGAAGAAGGAACCAGCCAATCCATGCAGCACCTCATTAGGGGGTAGAGTTAAGGTCACACTCCACATGTCACCTCCCTGTGGGTTGTCTCCTTAGATGGGAAATGTGATGGGGATGCAGCTTTGGGGTGTCGTGTTGCTGCTGTTCCCACGAGGATCGCTGTGTGAAGGTGGAGTGTGACAGGAACAGGCAGCTCAAAGCCATAACCTGGGAGATCCCCTGGAACCCAGAAGGTTTGAGGGTCACCTGTGAGGTTTGCTGGCCATGGCTGTTGACCTTCCTGAGAAGCCACCAAAGCTGCCCTCCAGCAAGAGCTCCTGGGGTGGAGATTGAAGTGCTGGGTGTCCACAGGTCCTCTGAAGCCCACCCATACCCTGGCATCCACTGTTGTCTTGTGTATCCAAGGGATAAGTCTCTTTTTCCTCCCAGTCCATCTCTCTTTTGTTCCTCATTCACAGCCTGGACTTCAGTTCTGGGAAAACACTGCCTGACCAGCCAGGCCAAGTGGGTGGGAAGCCACGCTCCTGCTGGGAGGAGCTGCTGGGCTTCCAGGGGATGATACCCCACCTTTGGAATAGGCTTTCCTTGGCAAGCCACCAGTGCCCGGGGTTTGGAAAGCTTCCATGGCACAATGAGAGACACATTTCTTTGGTTTTGAGCTCCTGGGTGAGTTTCCCCTCCATTACAGCTCGGTTGCTGATGTTTCTGGCAGCCACCACAGCAGTGGTTTGGATGAAAGCTCCCCGCTGTGAGTAGGTTTATATAATTGCTATTGTTAAATTTTGTAAATAAGTTCTGAACTCTACAGTGATAGGTCCTCTCTAAGGGGTGTAATCAGAAATTCGGGGCTCTTCCTCCCGGTGTAACTGGCCAGGTGAGCCAGGTGATGGGATTTGAGGATATGTCCTTGCTCCAGCATAATGATTTTGGGCAGGTGGGTAGGGTCCCTCACAGCCAGCTTGGCCCAATGGTTACAGCCTCAAAGGAGAAACCTTGTGCTGGAATGTGGGCTCTGGTTTGTGGCTGCTCTGAGCCAGGTGACACTTTGGGAGGTGCTGCTGTGCTACCTGATCTTCATGCTTTTTTGCAAGTCTTTGTGTTCAGGGAACACCCAGCTGTTTTAGAGACAGCCCAGGAGGAGGCTTGTACCTCTCCTGAAGGCTCTGAAACCCCCTACTCAGCTTCAGTTCTTCCCCCTGTAGAGCAAGAATAATCTTGTCCAGCCACATTGTTTATGTGCTTGGAGAAATGTCTCCAAAACACACTGTAGGGTCTCGTAGAAGAGAGGATTTCCAGCCAGTGTTGACAAAGCATCCCTGCTTCAAACCAGAGCTCAGAGCAAGGGAACAATCCAGACTTGCCATTAGGGCTCACCCTGCCAGCCTGGCTCTGCTGAGGCTGTGGCTCTGCTGTGCATCAAATCTTGGTGATTTATTTATTCCTCTTTTCCGAGCACTCTGGAGTGGAGCTTGTTCTGTGGTCCAGGGATCCCCCCATCCAGGACAACGAAGCTGAGAGACCCTGGGGGAAAGGAATGGGGACAACTACCATAAGGGGGAAAAAAAAATAGACCTAAATATTTAATCCACCTCCAGGTCAACTTGGCAGAAATGAGGTTTCTATTTACATGCACATCCACATATACATTATAAACAGTATGGAGTTTATAAATCTATAATATGTAAATATTGTGTGTTTTTGCTATAACTGCATATATCTATTTCAAGCATGGATGTAAAACAGCAGTTGTGGTGGAAGAGGCACAAATCTAAAGGGAAAGGTACTAAAAGGGAAGGGAATAACGAGTGCTGTGTGGATAAAGTGTGACGGGGCTGCAGTCTCCTGAGAGGGATGTTTCTGTTTCCCTGAAAGCCTGAACAATCACCATGACACTAATGTGCTGCCTTCACTTATTAATCCACTGATCTATTTATTAATTGATTGCTTTTCCTGACTTGTTTTTATTTTCCATTTCTTTGCTTTTAGTAAAGAGTACCCGGTTGTCCCCAGGAGCACAGTGAGACAAAAAGTGTCCTCGAATCACAGCCCGTTCAGTGGCGAGACCAGGGTCCTTTCTGCCTCCTCCAACCTGGGCTCCCAGTACCAGTGTGAGAACGGGGTGTCCAGCACCTCCCAGGACCTGCTACCGCCTGCCAACCCCTACCCGATCTCCCAGGAGCACAGCCAGATCTACCACTGCACCAAGAGAAAAGGTCAGGCCTTGGCTGCTCCCTGCTCTGTGCTTTCCCCCTCCTGACGTGACTGTCAGCCTCCTTTCCTGATCCTTGTCCCAGCCTGCCTTGCAGTGAGCCTTGGGGATGAGTGAGGGATGAGGGTTGTGTGCTGGAGGTGGGCTGGGAGACTCCCCTCACCCTCATTAGCCTAAAATCCACCGCTGGGCTGCCTGGAGGGGTGGCAGTGCCTTTCACCCACGGTGAATCCACATTTGGAAAGATAGCTGGTGCCAGAGATAAAGATGACTTATCTGCCTCCATAGCCCCTCAGACAGGGTTAATCTCCAAGTGGAGATGCCTTGACACTTTGCCTTTTGCACAGTTTTCAGCTCGGGGTCTCGCAGCTGGGAGAGAGTTTTCAGTCTGCAGAGAGCAATTCCACTCAAACACTCGTTCTAATCAACGGTGCCTGGGATTGAAAATCATGATATCCATGTTCCTTCCCCTCTGGGGCGACTGACCTGCTTTGACAGAGCTGGAGGGATCAAACTGTGAGGGCTTTACACTGACTGCTCAGCTCGTCCTGGCGTGAAGAGCCCCGTGATAGCGACGGGATAATTGTTTTGGGCAGGAGCGAGTGGTTTGTGGTCTCTCCCTCCCTCTCCCAAAGCCATGGGAATGCTCAGATGCACAAACACTTGCAGGGCTGAGGTAGCAAAAGCCTCAGATCAGCTCTACTCCTGGTACTCCAAAGAAAATAGGGAATTTCCAGGGCTGAATGCAACAAGGAGTGACAGGACGTGGTTACTGCTGACCCCTATTCCCTTTTCTCAGGATTTAGTCTACGTTGCCCTGGGAAAGCTCACAGAAGTCAGCAAGTACCATGGCATTTGAGTGCACCAAGAATTTCTCCAGCCTGGTAGCCTCTCCCCACAGCAGATCCCCTCCTGCTTCCCTGCACGGTCCTATCAGTCAGACACATGTCATTATTTTTAGTAACGTAACCCCGGGGCACGGGGATGTGCAGACACACAGTCTAAGGTAGGGGATGCTGGGAAGTGCTGGCAGAGGAGGCAGGAGGGCAGTGGAAATCTCCCTCCTGTCCTTGGTGAATCTCCTGAATGCTGTAGGGGCACGTGTGCTGTGTACAGGTTTCTATGTAAAGCTATAGAAGTTGAGACATTCTGGGGGTTTCCTGAGTCTGAGCTCAACAGTGGAAAGCAGAGGTGTCATTTTCTGCCTCCTCCAGCTGACCAGGTGACACTTGTGGTCACACAGAGTGTGTTGGAGCTGGGATTGGAAATGGTGATGCTAGACTTGAGCTAGATGTAAGGTAGGGAATAAGGAGAAGCAGAACGTCCCCTAGGTCAGAGATGTGGTGTGTGACCTGTCTTACCCCTTTAGTGATGGATATGAGGTGCTGGGACACAACTGGGCTGCTGCAAAACCCCACTGCTCACGATGGAAAGACCCACTCATCCCTGGCATCCCTCAGCCTGTGATCCATCCCCAGCGCTCCTTTGCCCTGGGAGCTGAGCTTTCACCGCCCCTCTTCCCCTCTGCAAACCCTAACCAAAACAAGCTGCCCCGAACGGCAACAAACCCTTTGGACAATCTCCGAGCGCTGCGCGTCCCCGCACCGCGGGGCAATTCATCATTCGCCTCCGCATTGTAACGCGATAAGGAATCAACAGAGGTTTCCTTCCAGTTTTGGGATTCCCGCTAAGTGGTGTCTCCATGGGTGGTTTCCCTCAATCCCCCAATTATCTCACTTCCTCTTATTGTCACAGAAGAGACGACTATCTGCCCCGTAATAAGCTCCCCGGCCCCTTTTGGCCCTTGCGAAAGTGCAGGAGACTGGCGAAGGGAGCCCTTGTCTGCGCGGCCGATGGCCCATCAGCCCCCTCATTATCTCCGCGATGGCTTGAGTGGCACAAGCAGTTAAGGGTCTTTTATCAAAGCCGCCAAACGCTTTAATCAAAGAGAAGCAGCGTCCTGTCCGATACCACCGGCTTCTTCCGCGGAGCTGTTCGTCTCGGCAGCCCGAGTCTCTCCTTTCCTCCCTGCGCCTTTTTTCCCCCCCTCCCTGCCCCGTGCATCCAGTAAATCGAAAACAGCCACCAGGGCTTAAAGAAAAGAAACACAAAGTTAATGGGAAACAGAGAGTCGGAGCAAGCTGCCAAGCAGCTCTTTGCGAAGTGAAATTAATTAAAAAAAGAAAAAAAAAATAAGTCACTCGAGATGAGCAATTCTGTTTGGATAAATCAGAACGTGATCCAAGGTTTCATCTCGGACTCTGACTGAGCGTGGCACTTCCTTCTAGCACCGAGCAAGGATCTTTGTTGGAGCTGGGAAAATAACCCTACATATAATCTTCCTCTTTTCCTCCTTTTCCAGCCTCTCGTTTCTGAGCTTTCCCACATAGTTTTCCTACAATTCTGCATAACTCCTACCAAGCCTCAACATCTAAGAAAACCTGAAAGCAAAAGAATATTTGCTCCTATTTTCCTCTGTCCATTTTCTGGACTGGAAATCTTATTGATTTTGCTGGATTATCCGTTCCCCAAACACTGACTCCTCCTCAGTCAGTTTAGGATTTATCTCAAGCGGATTATTTCCTTTTTGCAGGGCAGTGGTTGTGGACAAATGCTCTCAGGGGCAGAAGGCAATTCAGCTGGGTTTGAGACCAGCTGGTGTCTACATCTTCTGTAGTAAATTCCACCACTGTTTTCCAAGAGGGTCTCTCCTCGGAATTCCTTCCATCTTGGACATCTCACGAGGTTTCTCCATATCCTTTTCAGTTGGGGCCAGGCTTCAATTTAGGCTCAGTTAGGAACAGGTCTGTGTTCAAGCAACTCAAAGGAACCTTATTCAACTTCTGCTTCCTTGGTGACCTCAGACAAGGACCGTGCTCTGTGGTTGACAGTGTTGTTTTTAGCTGTCAAGTCAAGATGGATTCACCGTGGAGATCTGATATGGAGCTACATTAGGGCAGAGCAGCAGGGCTGTGAGGGGATGTTATCTCTGAAGGCTCCTCTGGTTCAGGGAGGTGATGCTCTCCTGGGTGAGGAAGGAAGGAAGGACACATCCCAGAGCTCCAAATCTGGCAATTACCGGTGTGCAGGTGGGAGTGCAGGGTCACAGCATTGGGAATGACCCCGGTGTGTGCAACAGGGCCGCTGCTCCAGGCACAGGGAATGGGGAGAATCATCCTGTGTTGTATCCCAGCTCCATGCTGAGATTGCTTATGGCACTGGGTTAACTCCAGTCCTGTACCTTACCAAGGAGTGGCCTCAGTTCTTGATGTGGATTTTCAGGCTGCAACAAAGACCAGTTAGAGCCTTGTCTTTCTCCTAGTTGTTCTCCACCTCTCCCTCTCTCATTGTTGTGCTTGGAGGAGCCCAAAAAGACTTCCCAGCAGGCAACTTGCTTTGTGTCTTTCGTTTAGCCCCCCATCCCAGTTAGGGTGTTGGGGCTTGTTTTCCCTTGTATTATCCTCTCCCTCAGATTTCCTGTGGATTAAATAGTCATCCCTCTAAACCTCTGCTCCCTCCCAGCCTTACACAATCTCAACCACTTGGCAGATTTCTGGGATGCTTGTGATGCTGGACAGGAGGCAACTGGAACAGCCTCTCCCTGGGGAGGTTATAAAAGTTGTCATGTTGGCATTCTGAGGGAGAAGAGGGATGTGGCAGAATCCACCGGCTCCAACCAGCAAGGACCGTACCCTTCAGCCACCTAACCTGGACAGGACACCATGAGGAAGAATATATCCTTCCTCTCCTTCCTGCTCTGATGAGGCTGGTGGAGGTCCAGCAATGCCTTTCCTCCTCCTCCTCCTCCTCAAGAACAGGCACCATTAGTGTGGACAGACCTTTTTGTTGACTGAACTGATTTCTCCCACGTCCCACCCAGCTCTTCTTTCCCTCAAAGAATCTGTAGGACAAAACCCAGGTGTGGGGTGTCTTCTTGGAGGACGTGCTGCTCATCCATCTGATGTTTGGAGATGCAGTGAGTCGGCCAAGGCTTGAGCTGCTGCAGCTGGAGGTGTTTGTAGCTTGGATAGATGCAGTGGAGCCCAGAGCAAGGTGCCTGCTGGGGCAAAAGGAGCCTGCCTGCGTGGTGAGGGGATATTCAGGGGGCTGGTGGGCACCCAGCTTTTGCTGTGTGGCACTGTAGCTCCAGCAGCTTTGTATCCCTCTCATGAGGAAAGGCTGAGGGAGCTGGGCCTGTTCAGTCTCGAGAGGAGGTGGTTGAGAGGGACCTCATCCGTGTCTGTCAGTGTCTGCAGGGAGGGGTCAGGGGGTGGATCATGCTCTGCTTGAGAGGGAGCAGGGTCAGCAATGGGACAGGGGGAAAAGCCAGGAACTGATGCCCAGAAGTTCCACCTGAACATGAGGAAGAACTTCTTCACTGTGCAGTGACCAAGCACTGGAACAGGTTGCCCAGAGAGGACGTGGAGTGTCCCTCACTGGAGATGTTCCAGGACTGTCTGGATGCAACCCTGTGCCATTCTCCCTCACTGGAGATATTCCAGAACTGTCTGGATGTAATCCTGTGCCATGTGCTCTGGGATGACCCTGCTGGAGCAGGGAGGTGGGACCAGATGACCCACTGTGGTGCCTTCCAACCTGACCCATCCTGTGACTCTGTGATCTCACTCTCCATCAGAGGTGCCTCCTGTGTCTCAGCAGGCAGTGCTGGCAACTTGCTACCTCTGGAAGAGGTTCCAGCTTTTGATGCTGGATTGTCCTTGCCCTACAACCCTTTGTGTCGTGTTCCCTGCAATGCAACACATCCATACCACAAATGGTGTGATAGCTGGAGGAACTGGCATGTCTTAGGTTCCATGTCCTAGGATGTACATCTTGTTTGCCCTTTAGGGATGTTCAGTTTGATTGAATCTGCCTCTTTTTTTATTTCTTGGACACCCCTTGTCAGCCTTGCACCCTTGTATTGGCTATTCAGGCTCGTGCTAGATCCATGCTAGAATCCAGACTGTGTGGGTGATAATCACCCATTGTGTCTCCCTCACAAAGTTGGGATGAACCTCCTGTAATGCCCTGGAAGCATGGATAAGCTTTGAAAATTAAACCAGTCACGTCCCATTCTCCATTGTCTTCTGTCCTGGGAAAGTTGACTGTCATGAATCAGAAAGGAGCTCTCCTGATTTACACCGAGGGAAGAGGTGGGCTCAGTACACCCTGAAGTCCAGAGACTTCACATGTTTGCATTTCATTCTGGACGGCCCTAATCTTGGAATTGGGAAAATTCCATTTTAAAGAGCCATTTGTGTGGTATTTACAACCCAGCTGGAAGTAGTAAATACCGGAAATCTTGGAACTGCTTATGCTCTTGCTCGAGCTCCTTCATTAGATAGCTCATCAAATTCCTTGTGAGGGAGCCAGTTTCCAGCCCATTCTGCAGGCTCCGTTTTCCTTGGATCCACTTCGGAGCAGCTTCTCCTTGGCTCTGGCAGCTTCCCCTGCTTGGCAGAACCTTCTGCTTTTTGAGGTTTGTGCAGTGTCGAGGGGCTGGTCACAGGAGCTGATTGTCACCCTTGGCTTCCAAGAACACCAACAAAAGTGGAGGATGGTCAGCGTCTCCCAGGATGGTCAGCACCTCACAGGATGCCCAACACCTCCAAGGGCTCAGTGGCAACTGGAAAAGGACAATGAATTGCCACCAGGGAACCAACACTGAGAATCAAACCCAGAGCAGGCAGTTAAGCATCTCCCATGTCCTGCTTACACTGATGCTGAGGAGGTGAGAGGACCTTCAGGGAGAGGATTATGGCCTTGAGATGGGCTGTCCAGGCTCCAGAACTGGTGGGGATGAATTTAAACTGCAGCCTTCAGCACTGTGTGTGAGATCTGTTTGCCTTGTTCTCCTTTTGCTGTTCTCTCACCTGAAGATGGCCCCTTTCCACCCGAGGTCTGTTCCACACACCATGAGATGCCCTTTTGCTGCTCTGTGCTGGCTTTGGTCTCCTCTGTGAGGGGTGGGGGGACAATGCCAGGTCCCACTAGAGAGCCTGGACAGTGTAACTCCATCAGCTGGCACCTCTCTGGCCTGCATGATCTCACCTGATGATGCAGACAGATTGTTCTCCTCTCTCTCTAGCACTTTGAGGTTACATAGATGGGGAAAATCACCAGGAAGAGGGGCCAAAGGGCACGCAAAAGCTGTTAGGGTAGGATGTAATCCTTTACTGGTGACTATGTCCCATTTGGAAATGGGTGCAGGGTCCTTACACATCTTAAAATGTGGACTAATGGTGCCTTTTCCACATACAACAGCAGCCAGCCTGGCTCTAGAGAGACCAGCTGATAGAGGGCACCTAGAGGGTGTCCACTGAAATTCTGACTGGTTTTGTTTTCCTCTCTTCACCTGTGGGGAATCCTGGAAGCGGCTCTGCCTGGCTGTGCCCTGGCAGGCAGAGAAATGTCTGGGCTAAATGGAAAAATCAGCAACCTCAGGTTGTAAGTCAGGCAGTTTTACACCACGGAAAAACAGAGTTTGACTGGTTTGTGTTGTGTATTTAAAAAAAATACAAATAAAATAAACAGTCAAACCCCAAGCCAATGATTTCTAACGCCAGCAGAGGGATGCGGTTTAATGCTGAAAACTTTATTAGCAGAACAATGCTGCATTTTACAAGACATTGTTTTTCCACCCTAGTGCTCTTATTACTCAGTGGTGGGTTGGGGATCCAAAACTTTTACGCTGTCCGTAAAAGCTGGAGCTCGGGCTGCTCTTCCAGATGTGCCTCCCGTGAGGGAGCAGGGGAGGGGTCAGACCTGTGCTTCCAGCTTTTGTCTTCCAGGGCACTGCATCCTCCCCACTGCTCCCACATCAAATGGACCTGACCAGCATTAGCGAGGGTGACACATTTCTGCATCTCCCTGCTTATTGTTTCAGCTGCTTTAAAGATGGGATTGCACTGCTCACTTATTCCATCCTGCTTTCCACCCTGATTTAAAAAGAAAGCAGAGGAGGAAGGTGACTTGGTTATCAGGGCTCTGCATTGCTGGAGTGAAAGAGTCAGGCTTTGCTTTTTGTCAGGAAGGAATGAAATAGGATTGTGGTTTTGCACTGAATTTCTGGGCAGTGCTGTCACAAAGCCAGAGGACACATAGGGGAATGTCCCTACAGTGTGTACCTCAGTACCTGCTGTTTTCTGGAGTTGTTGGACCGAGATGAACAGCAGCAGTTGTTCCAGCCGGACTTGGAAGACACCTGAGTGGGAATAATGGGTTATTTTACGTGCAGAGTGGATGCAGCTTCCAGGAGAACACACATGGCTGTTTACAGCAATAAGGGTGTGTGCATGTGTGTGTTTACAAGACACTAAACCTGCACCTCCCAAAGGTGAGACACCTTGGAGCAGCCTGGCAGCATCCCCTGTGCATCTGGTGGGGCAGATTCTCTTAATCCTCCTTTTTGTGAAATTGTTGTGGGTTTTTTTTTTCCCTTTGTATTTTGGGGTCGAAAAAGAAAATTGAAAAGGAGAATTCTGTGTGGCATTCTTTCAGATTTTACCCCTGTTAAATGGGTGAGGCCTGGAGGGCCTTGACAAAGCGGGATGTTTTTCTGCCTGCACCAGAAATCTTGTTTTTGAAGCAGCAGCGAAGTTAATCCGTGTCAGAACAAGCTCCCCTTCCCTTGCCACGCTGTCCTTAAAATCTCTTGGTGAAGTGCTCGTCCCTGGGAACTTTGCCATCCATTCCAGCAGAGCTGGATTTCATTTGATGACCCTGCGGATGAATAAATAAGCGCACATTCATTTATTCATTTTGCTTCGCCCTGGAGATTTCACCTAAATTGTTTATCTCCTTCCTCCTCTTGGCCCGGGATGCTGCAGGAAACAAAGGGCTCTGCAAGATGTGCCATGTTGTTTCTAGCTGTGAAATTTACTTTTCTTTTTTGTTCCCCTTGGCTCCAGCACATGGCCCTGTGTGGATTTATGTGCCCAGCTGCCTTGGCACAGCTGAAAACCGGGGTTGAAAAGCTCCGAATCTGATTGTCTCAACTGTGCCATCGCTGCTGCTCTCCTGGAGGGAGGGATTTTTATTGTCATCTCCATTTTCGTCTCTTTTTTTTTTTTTTAATCATGAAAATGTGTCACTGGAAAGGCTTTTGGTTAACAGCATCAGCTCTGAGCCTCTCGGGTGGGATGGGGACCTCTGTTAGGTCTGCAGGGAGATGTTACTCCTCAGGTCACAGTGCTGGCAGCAGGGAGGAGATGAGGAGCTTGGGGGGTGTGTAGGGGACATCACCAAGCAAGCTGAGCCTCAGGATCCCTCCAGCATCTTCCCTGATTTTCCTCCCAGAGCTCCTGGCTAACCTCTCCCCCAGTGCAAGCAGGCAGGGCCAAGTGGAAGACTCGGTTTCAGCAGGATTGGTTCAGATCAGTCCCAGGGAAGTGAGGGGGATTTACACCGAGAGGAGTGTCTGGAGCAGGCTGTGTGCTGGGGAAAAGGAGGGTTGTGGAGAGGGAGGTTCAGCCGAGGGCCTGGAGCAGGCTGTGTGCTGGGGAAAAGGAGGGTCGTGGAGAGGGAGGTTCAGCCGAGGGCATGGCATTGTTCGCTACCAGGACTTTTCTGTTCCCAACAGATGAGGAATGTTCCACCACCGAGCACCCCTACAAGAAGCCCTACATGGAAACATCTCCAGCAGACGAGGATCCCTTCTACAGGTCCAGTTACCCCCAGCAGCAGGGACTGAACACGTCGTACAGGACTGAGTCCGCCCAGCGCCAGGCCTGTATGTACGCCAGCTCCGCTCCCCCCACGGACCCCGTGCCCAGCCTGGAGGACATCAGCTGTAACACGTGGCCCAGCGTGCCATCCTACAGCAGTTGCACAGTGTCTGCCATGCAGCCCATGGACAGGTTACCCTACCAGCATTTCTCTGCCCACTTCACCTCGGGGCCGCTCATGCCCCGGCTGGGCAGCGTGGCCAACCACACGTCCCCCCAGCTCGGAGACACCCACAGCATGTTCCAGCACCAGACCTCTGTTTCTCACCAGCCCATTGTGAGGCAGTGTGGACCTCAAACTGGCATCCAGTCCCCTCCCAGCAGCCTACAGCCCGCGGAATTCCTGTATTCCCACGGCGTGCCCCGAACCCTCTCGCCCCACCAGTACCACTCCGTGCACGGCGTGGGCATGGTGCCAGAGTGGAGCGAGAACAGCTAACAAGGGAGAAGTGCAAGAGAGCGTCAGCCACGGGAAAACTGAAGGAAACAAACAAAAAAACCAACAAAAACGGGAAAAGGAAAAAAACAAACAAACAAACAAAAAGCCAAACCAAAACCCCCTGTTGATTAAAAAAAAAAAAATAAAAAAAAAAGCGAGGATATTTTGCAAGACTCCTTTAACTGAATGTTCACCGCTAGCACTCGAGAGGGACGGACACTGACTGAAAGCACGGATAAAAACAGGCATCAGCCTCGGTGTGACTTGCCCCCTTCCTCCTCCTCCCCCCCTTTTTTATTTCTTTTTCTTTTGTTTCAAAAGAAAAACCAACAGATTGGCACAAAATTCTTCCCCTGCCACGGGCCCACCCAGTTTGTGTTGCTGCCACCGCCAGCCCCGTGCCCTCGTCCCCCCCCCCCTTCCCGCCCCGCTCCCGTCCTCCTGCTCTTTTTGTTCTCCAAGGGACACCAAACTCCTGCTGCCTTTCTCACCACGGTCAGAATGCTTGAAAGAAAACAACTAGGATGTTACTTTTTTTTTTTTTTTTTTTTTGGTGGGGTTGATGTTGACGATGTTATATAATAAATAATAATATATATATATTTTTCTTTCAGTTTTCTCAGAGAAAAAAAAAAAAGAAAGAAAAAAAAGAAAAAGAAAAAAGACACCGACCTGTTTTTACCAAGGGTGGATTTTGGAGTGGTGTTTCTTTTTTTTTTTTTTCTTTTTATTTAATTAGTATTATCCTTCTTACTTTCCAACAGAAAGAGGTACTGAGAAGCCACAAATAAAACCCAGTGCCTACCTCGCCCAGGCATCGTACCAAGAGTGAAATCTTTCCTCACAAATGTCTCCAAACATCTCTCTGCAGGAACCATCCCCATAAACTCATCTCCTTTCCCACTTGTAATCCTCTCACTCTTCTTTCCTTCCCATCTCCTGGTCTTTCCTGGTCCATCAGCTGGTTCTGACGGAAGCACAGGGGTTATTTCCAAGCTTGAAAACATCCCCAGTTCGACTCCTGCTACATTTCTACCGGAATGTGGAAAGCAAAGCTCTGAGCCAGCTGGGGAGGGCAGGGGGGAGAGAGGATGCAGGCAGGGAAAGGAAAAAGTTTGCTCATAAAAGCGATGATGACGCTCGTTTGCAATCCCTGACGCTTTCATTTCGTCCCGCGTTCCTTTTCTTCCTCTCCAAAAAAAAAAAAAGGGATCCCAGACTGGGTACGTGAAGTGAGATATGAATGAAATGGGTTTAAAAGGGGCAGAAGATGATCATGAGAGGCTGGGAGCGGGGGAGGCGAGAAGAGAAGAAAAAGCAAATGTGTGTAAGTAAAAATGCCTACTGCAGAATTTTTCAGGTGTAAAATTCCCTGGTCCTATTTATTTATACATGGGAGTTCCAATAACTCACGCTGTGTCACAAAGCCAGCAAAGCAGCTCACTCAAAGAGGTTAAAATTTTTATTGAAATGGAAGTTTGCTTTCTTTTCTTCTTTATTTTTTTTTTCCCCTCTCTCCAAGCTGTGCACACTCTATCTAATTTACATATATTTTTAATTAAAAGTAATTCTAATTAACAAAAAAAGAGCTATACCTGTGTGTCAGCCACTGGGAATGTGGGTGTGAATGTGTGGGAATGCTGGTATGTGCGTGGGAGGGAATATAGACAGGTAGCTCAGAAGAAAAAATAATGCCTACCTGGATACAATTTCCTATTTTTGTGTGCCAATTTATGTCCAATAAATACCACACACTCTCAACAGCAAGGGACCTGCCCACCTATTTTTAATAATTTTTGGGGGTAATTTTTCTTGGTTTTTTCCCTACATGATGCCCATAATTATATGTGTTTTTTATAATCAATAATTACATTTATTTATATTAATTTCTGGTGCAGCACAGGAGGTACAACATCCCAACAGGGAAGGGGGTGATAGGTTTTTTTCCCTACATGATGCCCATAATTATATGGGGGTTTTTATAATCAATAATTACATTTATTTATATTAATTTCTGGTGCAGCACAGGAGGTACAACATCCCAGCAGGGAAGGGGGTGCTGGGCTGAGCTTGAGGTTCCTGTGTTTGGGGCTGTGGGCTTGCTGGGGCTGGGTCCCCCAGGTCCTTCCCAGCCATCCCAGTCTCCAAGGAATGTGCTCTCCTGGAGTCCAAGGGGGATTTAAAAGTGACCTTGGGAATCCAGGTGGGTGTTGGGGTGGCACCTGGTGGAGGTGGAGCTGCCCCAGTTCCCGTGCAGGTGAGCTGGGTGGGGCATGTTTGGCCCAGGGGAGGTGTGGGGTTGTGTCCCAGCCTCAGCAGAGGACGGGAGGATGCTTGTGGGGATTGGAAACGAGGCGGGAAAATCAGCTCCAGAGAAATAAAGGGATGAGAAGCCCGTCAGAAAGGTCTCCCCTGTGCGGCTGGTGAGCCATGGCCATGTCAGGAAGAGCATGGCCAGGTCCTGGGAGGGAGGTGAGGAGGTGTCCCCAGCCTGCCCCACTGGCAGCAGCTCATGTGCATTGCTTTTGGTGGCCTCCTGAGCAGCAGAGCCCCAGGGACACCTTGTGAAGGCCCAGAAGGTGAGCAGGATTGGCAGAGCCCATTCACAGGGGATGGTCCCACCTTGCTGTTCCATGGCAGGTGGGACCTGGGAGGTGGGATCTTCTGGGGCTATCCCAGCACTGGTTACAAGCCAGCTTTCTTCTTTCGGATGTCTCTGCTCTTACTGTCTTCTTCTTGCAGCAGTTGGGTTCCAAAAACCTGTAGACACAACCAGAACGTGGTGCTGTGCTACCCCAGAAGCTCGCTCTGGGTGTTGATCACATTATCAGGCAGAAGGAGATGGTAAGGCACCACAAAACCCTGCTCTGGGCATGGCTGGGACCTCAAGTGCTGCACAAAGCTGTTTGTCTCTGTGCAGCCACCCCCAGGGGATCACCCAAACGTTGGACTGCTCAGTAAACCACATGTGGTGCCTCCAGAACGTGCAGTTGGCCGAGATTGATGGGCGAGTAAATTGCATTTTGAGTTCAGGAATAAAAAATCTTACGCTGTATTTAGCTGTCAGTAACATTGTACTTCCCAGGCTTCCTTATTGCACTGCTAATCATGTAATCATCTAATCACCATATGGTAATTGCCATGTAATTAAGTGGCCAGTGGTTACTCTGTAAGTAAAGAGGTCTCACCCGAAATGTGTGCCATGCACCTCAGAGAGGATTAAGGACACTAAACTCACATGGTAAATTACTTCTCAAGCTTCGGAAGGAAAGCCTCAAGCTTTCAACTTGATTGATTTCTCTGAGCTCCTCATGTTTGTTTTTTGGCTCTGCAGGGACGTGCCATGACTCTTCTCAGGAGTCTGGGATGACACAGTGGGGTTTGGCTGCTGAAAAGCCAAGTAGATCCCTGAGGATACAACCCTGTGGAGCCACATCAGCACGAGGAGCAAGGAGGCCACCAGTGGCAGAAGGATGGACCTGTCACATCAACAAAATCTGGGATGAAGGCAAAGGTGCATGGGAGGATGTGATGTGGCCTTTTCTTCCTCTTAAAGGTTTTGTTATTGCTTCCATAGGGCATTCCTGGGTTTTAGCCTTGCTGGAGCCCAGTTGTGCCACGTGAGCCCAGGCTGCTCCTCCATTTGAATGGGAGGGACTGTGAGGAGTCAGAGAGGACATGAAAGGAAAAGGTGACTCAGCCTGGATGTGAACGTGCCTGGTCCATGTTGAGCCTTGAGAAACGGCTTGTGCTTCTTCCCAACTGCTCCAAAAAAACCCCACCAGGAGATGTCAATTAGAGGGGTTTCCTCTCCCTTTGGTTGTGATTTTATGTTCCAAAGTGCCTGACGTGATTTCTTTAATTTCTTTTCTTATGGACTTATTTCTTAGCCAAGTATAATAATGATGTTGACAATAATAAACCAAGGAACCAACCACCAAAATTAGGGAAAAATTACACAGGAGTTACTGTCATTGGAAGAACTGGACAAAAGAGGTTGCAAAATTCACCCTATTCAGAGCTAAACTGGCAATTCATTACTGTGAGGGTGGTGAGGCCCTGGCACAGATTGCCCAGAGAAGTTATGGGAAGTGTCCAAGGCCAGGTTAGATGAGGCTCTGAGCAACCTGGCATAGTGGAAAGTGTCCCTGCCCATGGCAGAGGAGTTGAAATTAGATGATCTTTAAGGTCCCTTCCAACTCAGGCCATTCTATGATTCTGTAATAAGAGACCTTGGAACCTGGAGCAGACCGTCCCAGAGTGGGACAAGGGACCCAGCACAGCCACCACCAGCCTTTCCAGTCTTGCCTACAAGTCCCAGGAACCATCAAATAACACTCAGCATTGCCTGGTGCTTTCCCATAAGCCCCACTGAGGGTGCTGGGCTGGACCTGAGGTGCTCCTGCCACAGGTCTGGGGTCAGGGGTGAAGGAAAAGTCCAGGAGAGCTGGACTTGCTGGGAGATGAAATGTGTCCTCAGGTAAGAAGGGAGCTGGGCTCTAAAGGGATCTCCAGTGCAGGAGGAGGGCTGGTGAGGTGGATGGAGAAGGCAAGGGAGGCCCATCCTCCTCCTCCTCATGGGCAGGGCACTTCCTTGCCTCAGACCTTTCGGTGAGGAGCCTCGGGGCGAGTTTGCATGGAAAGTGGCCACGAAACATCCCCAGGCAGGAGGAAAAGGGGGCTTTACAGCTGCACCATAATAAATAAGTGCAGGCTGTACAATTCCTTCGAGCAGACAAACAGAGAGAGAGAAGCCCAGCCTCTGCTAAAAACATCTTTTAAAGAGTGAACCCGAACTCCCAGGCTGTGGTCACAATGCTGTTTTCTCAGCTGCCTTCCTGGGCTAAAACACTCCCTGCAGTTCCCGTGGTTGGTACCTGGGCAGGCTCTGGATGCCCTGAGAGGCACAGAGAGCTCTTTGTGTGCCCCTATCAGCTCAGCTCCACATTTCAAACGTCGGCAGCTACGATGCTGAGTGAGTTTGGGAGGCGGCTCCCCCC